CCCGGGGAGGGGCGGGCACCGGGGACCACCGCGCTCCAGGGAGGGGAAGCACCGGGGACCACCGCGCTCCAGGGGAGGAAGCACCGGGGACCACCGCGCTCCCGGGGCGGGGCGGGCACCGGGGACCACCGCGCTCCCGGGGAGGGGCGGGCACCGGGGACCACCGCGCTCCGGGGGAGGAAGCACCGGGGACCACCGCGCTCCAGGGGGGGAAGCACCGGGGACCACCGCGCTCCCGGGGAGGGGCGGGCACCGAGGAGCACCGCGCTCCCCAGGACGGCGGGCAAGCTGCCGAGACCTCTCGGCGGCGCGGAGGAGGAGGAGCACAGCGCAGAGTTCCGGCCTCCTTCCGGGCGTTGCGCGGCGCACACCTGGACCAGGGACCCCGCAGCACCCAGGACCCTCCCGGCGCTCGCCAGGTGACCTTGGGGAGGCGCCTCCGGACTCAGCTTCCTCCGCGGCCCGGCCAAGGGAGCGGCCCCCAGGACCTCTAGCCCAGACTTCCCCAAGGGGCGCTTCCCCGGCGCCGCCGAAGGCTCATCCTCGCCCGCCGTTTACCTGAGGAGCTGCAGCCAGCGCGACCCAGGCGCCGCCTTCCCGCCCAGCAGCTGCCCGGAGTGGGCGGAGCCGCGCGCGCCGAGCCCGCCCCCGCTGCCTTCAGACCAACCGCAGCCCGGAGTGCGGCAGTAGGGCCCCGCCCCCAAAAGATCTCTGCACTTATTGGTCGGAGGCACGTCTCTCATGCTCGCTCCACCCCTCCCGCCTCCATTTACAAAGCCGGAATGCGCAGACTCCGCCTCACGCTCGGCCCCGCCCCCTGGCCGCTCCTTGGTCACCGCCTCGGACTGTTGGGCGCCCGCGCGGCCGCCACTGCGCGGGCGCGGCCCTCAGGCTCGTGATAACGGCCGCAGTCCCGGGGCGCAGCCGTCCCCGTGTCCCCATCGGACGCACAAGCTGCGGCGACCTCTGCTCCCCGACGCCGGGACGCGGGCTCCGCGCGCGTTGCGGCCGCTCGCAAAGCACACGCCGGCCCTCCGTCTGCCCGGAAGCGCCCGCGGGAAGCGGCGGCACGTGGGGGCGGGCGGGACTGGCGCGGCCCTGCGTTCGCGGGGAAGGAGGCGGCCCGCGGGGTCCCGGGGCCTCGGGACGCGAAAAGAGCGATGTGAGGAAGGAAAGCGCTCCCCGAGGAGCGGCCCGCGCGCGCGTCCAGGCCGGGCCTCGGCGGAGGCGGCGGAGCCCCGCGGGCAGGACGTCCTCTCCAGGCCGGGGGATGGGGCTCCGCTGTGGGGCGGCACCCAGGGGAGCGCAGGACCCTTCGCGGGTGCGGGCGAGGCCCCTGCAGCGGCTTCCCACGCACAGGCCTCGGCGCCTGTGGCCCTGCCTCCCCCCGGCCTGGGAGCCGCCCCCGCTCCGCGCACGCCGGGCGCCAAGCGCAGCGCAGCCCGGCTCTCACTCCGGCCACGGACGGACGCCCGCCCCTCCGGCAGGGGGCACGCCTGAGCCTGCCCTCTGCACCCCAGGGCTCCAGCACAGGAGGGCTGCCCAGTGAAGCCCCGGGTTTGAACTCAGGTGCAGGCAACGAGGCGGATAATCGGGACTACAGAGGGACGGTGGACAGAGCCAATGGCCGTTCTGATCCTGCAGTCACCACTTGGCTTGACCCTCGCGGGCTTCCAGCTGGGTCCTGGCACTGGTGGTGGCCGGGAGGGAGAGGAGGTGCGCCCCCGGGGCGCAGGCTCCCAGGCTTCGCAGCAGAGCCCAGAGGCTCAGCCACCCTGGGCCGGGACCACCTGGCTCCAGCTCTAGAGTGGCTGCTTCTTGCAGCCCCCACCTTCCACGAACTGCACCCTGCCCGCGTGCCTCTCCAGGCCGTCTTACTCTTGAACCATCAATCCCACCTGCTTAAATTGCCTGGAGCAGTTTGTCTTTTTTTCTAACCCTTAGGTCAATCACAAACTGGTTTGTTTTTTCTGAGGTCTCACTGTCACCCAGTCTGGAGTGCAGTGCGACAAGGGCTCACTGCAAACTCAGCCTCACCGGGCACACGTGATCCTCCTACCTCAGCCTCTGGAGTACCTGGGACCACAGGCACACCACCCCACCTGGCTGATTTTTAATTTTTTGGAAGAGACAGGGTCTCACTATGTTGCTCGAGCTGGGTTTTATTGTTGAAACGAGGCCTCTCACTGTCGCGCAGGCTGGAGTGCAGTGGCATGATCATAACTCACAGCACCCTTAAATTCCTGCACTCAAGTGATCCTCTTGCCTCAGCCTCCCAAATAGCTGGAACTGCAGGTAGGCACCACTATGTCTGGCCAATTTTTAAATTTTGTTGCAGAGAAAAGGTCTCACTATGTTGCTCAGGCTGGTCTGAAACTCCTGGGCTCAAGAGATCCTCTTGCCTTGGCCACCCCAAGTGCTGGGGTTACAGGCATGAGCTGCTGCACCCAGACCTTGTCCTTATTTTCTGTATCCCAGGCAATTTGCCAAACAAGGGCCGTGTGTGAGCAAAGGAATATCAAACACATGCCTTGCTCTCAAGAAGCTCATGTTCTAAAAGGAATGAGAAACTGTGTCTCCAGTTTACGCCAGCCCGTTCCAGGGCCTTTGCTGCAGCAAACATGCCACATACACCCACAGATCTTGGTGGAGGAGACTCCAACTCCCCAGACTCACTGGCCTGTACCAAGCACTGGGCCCTTGCAGACATTCCCAGGATGGCTGCCCAGCAGGCAGCCCTGCCCTCCAGGCCCACAGCCACTGTGCTTCTCCACAGCAGAGATCACACATTTGGGTCCAGGCTCCACCACCACCATGGGGCCTCAGTTTCACCATCTGTAAAGCAAGTATTGGTTCTTAGGACTTGAGATCCTAGATGTGCACTGCCCCCACAGGCCGGGCATTTGGGTGTGTTCCGTGACTGGGGTCAGGACTGCTACAGGTGGTAGTTGTAGCTGGTACAACTGCCCAGAATGACACCTGGCACTCAGACGTTAGCAGTAATAGTGCCTACAGGGCACTCTGGGTGCCTGAAGGAAGGGACAAGGTTGGCTTCTGTCTCTTGGAGCTGTAGGATCAGAGGTGGGCTCAAGGGTGGGGCCCTTACTTGCCCTGGGATGTGCGGTCAAGTGTTCAGAGGGCTCTAGGTGGGAGGCTTCCTGCACCCTGCTGGCCTGGGCAGGAGGTGCTGCAGGCTCCAGTGGAGAAGGCCAGGAGACAGGGCTCCTGCCTGCCTTCCTCTGGCTCAGCCCACCTTAGGGCCAGCTGAGTGTGGCCACAGCATCCTCTCAAAGGGGGAGGGGGTGCCCCTGAAACGGTGGTTGGCACATATGTATCCTTTTTCCTTTCCTTATGCCCCAGAAATCCCCACTCTCATTTATTTAACGGCTCTCTGTGGCCAGCCACGTCCAGAGGGGTCCACAGAGGCCTCATCCTGGCTCTAGCCCTTGAAATGGGTTTTCACCCCACAGAGAGTGGGCCCCATGTGGGCAGGACTGGTCCCACAAGATGTCCTCAGTGGGCAGGTCCCCAAAACGAGAAGACATACCCTTCCAGGACACAGTGGAGGTACAGCTCTAGAATTCTCCATTCTAGAACCTGCCTGTCCTCTCCCAGAGCTGGCCCTCCCCCTGCCCAGTCCAAGCTATGCCAGCCCTGCCCTGAGCTCACAGCTCACTCCCTGCCTCTGTCCCAGTCCCAGCAAGCCTTCAGAAACTTGGCTGCTGCCTCAAGAGGGATGCAGTTCCCACCCAGCCCCCACCACCCTGGCCCCTGCCCTCTGACACAAGTCAGGCCTCAGCTGTACCAACCAAGACTGCTGAAGCTGGACCACCATGGTACACTGCCCTCCATGAAGGGTAACAGCAGGCGGAAGCTGGATCAGATAACCTTTGTGGAGCAGGTGCGTGAGTGCAGGGACAATGGCTACCTGCTCTCCTTCAAGAAGATCGTTTCTGGGGTCTTCTCCAAGGTGTACTTGGCCTATGCCACCCATGAGCATTTGCAGCACAACCCCAAGCTGTTCTCCGTGCAGGCAGGTGCCACACCATGGTGAGGCAGGCTTACCTCCTTCCTCAAGGGGCTCCCGTGCCTCCCAGCCGGGCCCTGGCAGGCCCCTCTGTGTCTCAAACCCTCTCAAGCACCATCCAGCTGCTCCAGCTTCCTCCATCTGAAACTTTCCCCCGTCTCATTTCCTCCCCAGAGGCCTTCCCAGGGCTCCTGCAGGCTGACCATCCCGTTCCCAAACCTCTTAAATACAGAGTACTCTGCACAGAAGGGAGCTGGGAGGTCATCGCTGCTGTCCAAGGGCACTACTCACCCAGCCTCACCCCTGAGGAGTTCAGAAAAGTGTAGAAAGGACAGGGGACTGCCCTGCCACAGCCAGCCCCTCAGGGGCCGAGTCTCACACAGCAGACTCCCTCCACCCCACAGGTGGCTATCAAGATCATCACCACAGCCAAGGCCCTGGTGGAGTTCTCCCACAAGTTTCTGCCCTGTGAGATCTTGTCACTCAACACTACCTATAAGCACCTGAACGTGGTGGGCAGAGGTCTAGACACAGCCTGTCCCCACCCTGTGGAGGGGCTAGCTCTCCCCGACCTGCTGCCTGCCCCAGGCCTGTGGCCCCCTCCCACCTTGGACCTCCCTTTGGCCCCAGGGCTGGAGCCCAACCCCACCCTGGAACCCAGGTCTGGTGCCAATTGACAGATTCCAGCACACCCTTGGCCCTGCCTCGAGGTGATGGCAGGTGCGTGGGCTGCAGGTGCAGCTGTACAAGACCTACCAGAACAGCCAGTGCTCCTGCCTGCTGCTGGAGTTGGCAGCCCAGGGGCAACCTGCTGGAGCACATCAACACCACCTTGGACCACCGCTGCCACCCAGGGCTGGAGAAGGAGGAGGCCCATGGGCTGTTCTGGCAGCTGGTCAGTGCTGTGGCGCACTGCCACAGCATGGGTATCACGCACCAGTGAGGGCTGCACCTGGGCCAATCGCCTGCCCACATGCACAGAGAGGCCTGCTTGAGCCCAAGCCAGCCCCACTTCCTGCCTCCCCTCTCCCATGCAGGGACCTGAAGTGCTGGATGACTGTGGCCTTCTCAAGCTGACCAGTGAGTCCACAGCCCCCACACTGACCCCCAGCCTGGGAATGAATGCCTCCACATGCAGGGGCCCACCCCCCCACGCTTGTCCCAGCCAGGTCCTTGTCTTCAGCCCTCCCAGAAGGCCTTTAGGCCACCCTTGCACAAGGGCCTGAGGCCCCTGGCCTAACCCCCACATGTGCCCCCAGCCCAGGCCCACCTTGTCCAAACCCACACTCTTGCTGTCGGCCCACACACTGCACACAACCCCACGAGCCTCCACAGCCATTCCTTCAGACTGGCATCCTGAAGTCCCTCTCCCTGCACTCCTGCCCCTCATGCACAGCACCACCCTCCCCACTTACCCTGTACGGATTTTGGCCTTGCTAATTGCATGGGGCCCAGGAACTCATTGCTTAGAACTTTCTGCACCTCTGCAGCCCCCACAGCCCCAGGGATCCTCATGAGCAAGAAGTATAGCGGGGAGCCGGCCGACCTGTGGAGCCTGAATGCCTCCCAGGGAGCCCTGACCCCAGGCAATGGGCCGACCTGTGGAGCCCCCAGGACACCCCAACCCTGTAGCCAAGGCTCACGGGAGGGCTGGGAAGGGGCTACACCCTGAGGAGCTCATGCCCCAAGATGTCATTCTCTACGCCATGGTGAGCGAGAAGCTGCCCTTCAAGGAGTGCCGGCCCCACTGCATGCTGCACCTCATGCACCAGGTCTGTCCCCAGGTGAGCCCCATTCCATGTCCCTTCCACACCTAGCTCAGGCCTGAAGAGTGGCAGTAAGAGAGACCTGGACTCCAAGCAGGGTAGTCCTCCCCGCTCAGGCTGGGGTGTTTGGTCCAAGTGCTGCAGTGACAGAGAAGCTGGGCTTGTGGAGGACCTGACTCAACGCAATTCAGGAAAGGCAGTGACTGCAAACCTGAGCTCTGCACCAGCCCAGGGCACACCACCTTGCCCCTCTATGCCTCAGTCATTGGCGACAGGACTGACACCTCTAAGCTGCTGGAACTCTTGGCAGTGACATGCATGGGATGCTGAAGGGAAGTGGCCACAGGCAGCAGCCGTGAGCCCCTGCCCAGAGTGCCAGGACCTGATTTGGGGGCTGCTGCAACTGCACCCACACAAACACCTGGGCCTGCAGCAGGTGGCTGCACACTGCTGGATGCTGCATGTGGCGAACATGCTCTTCCTCAGTGCTGTGCCAGGTGTGGTGGGGGCCCGCGGGTGAGCAGCTGGGGAGCAGGTAGTCCCTTGGCACTCCACCTGACCCCACTGTGGCCCCTTGCAGAGAAGCTGGTGCAGTCCCAACTCCCAGCATCCTTGGATGACCTGGAGTCTGGCAAAGACTTAGAGAGTGTAAACACCCAGTCTTGTAGCTGCACTGCCTCCAGCGGCAGGGGCTTCCAAGGAGAACGTGGGCCCTGAGCTCAGGCTGCCAGAGGTATGCCCCAGAAAAGGGGTAAGTTCTGCTCAGCTGGGGCTCTAGAGCACTGCGGCAGCCAGCCTGGGAGTCAGCACCTCCAGGCAGCTGCCGCCGCCATGCCCCAAGCCTGCATGTATTCTGTGAAGATGATGCAGATGTTAGTGCTGATAGGGCAAGTGGCCTCTAGTGGCAGGAGGGGGCTCTGGCCAGGGGAAGGCACCAGTCCACACATACCTGCATGAGTGGCAGAGCTTTAATAGGGGCAGGTTAGAGGAGATCCTGGAGGAGGGAGATGCCCAGCACCTGATGAAGCACCTGGCTACAGCAGGAGACCACAGGTGGAGCAGGCCTCCAGTTTTAGGGTGTGGAGTGGGACACTGTGAACTCCCAAGACAAGCTAAGCTCCTTCACCAGGGCTCAAGGGGCCTGGGTGGGCCCATCAGTGAGAAGGGGCCAGCACTCAGGAGCCCAATGCAAGAGGTGGCAGTGAGGTCAGATGAGCTCAGGAAGGAAGAGTGTGGTAAGAGCCACCATGACAGCCCGTGGGGCTTGGCAGCCACAGAACTAGCAGGTGGGGGGGGAGGCACATAGGTCCAGGAGAGAAGCAGGTAAGGCCCCTGGGCCCAGCATGGGCTCTACCACAGGGGCAGAGGGGAGTGGGGGGAGGCCTGGGCAGGGGCCAGGCTGCAGGCACATCTGGAGGCTCCTGGCAGAGGCAGGAAGGCTAAGGATAGTGACCCTGGCTCAAAGAAGCTGACCAGGGAAATGGCCTAGCTTGAGAGGCCATCCAATCTAAGACTGGGAAGCAGGGAGACTTAAGGAGCTGACAAGGGTTGAGGACAGGGTCCTGCAGCACAGGTCAAACAGGGAGGCACAGTCCCAGGAAGACCCCAGGATCTAGGTATGGCTGGGTCAGCCCTTTGAGACCAGGTCTCAGGGAGTGGGGTGCTGAGAGCCACAGGGAGGGGGCTGACAAAACACCACTTGTACTTATGCGCCCACGTCTGCCCAGACCCTGCAGTGCCTCGGGACTGAGAAACTCCAGCTGGCTCCTTGGGGCTTGCAGTGGTTTTCTGTCCAGTCCCCACACCATGCCCAGGAAGTCTTCTCATGGCTCCATGGCCATCCACCTGCCACCTCCACCTTTTGCACAGGCAGCTGAGTCACGGTACCTGGCTCACAGTGCTGTTCTAAGCAACTGTCATTCTTGCTGGTAGCAACACTGCAAAGGGCTGGGAAGTGCCTCCAATCCTTACTGCAGCTTAAGTGTAGCTCTGCTTCTCAGCAGGGCAGTCTCTGAGCAGGGGGACCCAAGGGGCCTGTAGGCAGCTGCAGGAAGGCCTGGTCTGAGAAGGCCTGGCAAAGGGGGCCCTGGAGCTGGTGTCTGGCTGCAGGGGCCTCAGGTGGGTGTGGCCCTCTCCAGCCACGGCTCAGGAGCCAGCTCCTGCTCCAATTGCTCCCGTCCCAGCTGTTCCTGCTCCTGGTGATCCAGCTGCTGCAGCTGCTGTTCCACATCCTCAGGCACCTGGACTTCCAGCAGGTTTTCCATGCCACATTCAGGCTCATCTCCAATAAGCACCTGCTAGATGGGAGGCAGGTGAGCAGCTGGCCAGCTATAAACACCCCTTCCCCAGAATCTCCGACCCTGCACCAACCTGGATTAGCTTCTCACAAGCCGTCCGCACGTCGGACTCGGGCTCCCAGCTGTGCAGCTCTCGAAGGACCAGGTAGGCTCCCTGATCCCGCACCTGCCGCCGACCTGGTGCTGTGGCTGTCAGCTGAGGAGGTGGAAGAGGTTACCCAGATGTCAGCATGCTCGTGTGTGTCGGGGGTGGTTCTTATGCAGCAGGGATCCTGCTCACCAGCATTATGGCTTCAACAAGCATCTTGCGGATGTCTGCATCAGGCTCTCGCTGCTTGTCTGGCGGCAGGTACTGCAAATCGACAGGCAGCCCTAGGGGTGAATATGGGAGCCACTGGGTCCCTTAGCTGAGGAGTGGGCCAGGCTCTGCCTGTGTAAGCCCCATCTGTGCTCAGCAACTCACTGCTGCAAGGTTTCAGAAGGGGCCTGTGACCTGGACACTTCTCTCTACCTCCACCTGCCTCCCTCCTCTCCCGCCAACTCTGAGGCTCCACACTAACCACTCACGTTCCATCTCCTCCTCGGAGAAATCCTCAGGCCCAGCCAAGGGCAGGAGCAAAAAGGGGAGAATGTCCACCTCAGGTCCAAGCAACCACTCGTGATGTCCTGAGGGCCAGCAGAGGTGGTGAGATGAGGAGCCCCGGTATCCAGTCCCCACCCCTGGCAACGCCCCGCCGCCACACCCACCACTCACTGTGCTCGAAGCAGCAATTCCGAAGCGTCCCCACCACCCCGCCCCTGCGCACAGAGGAGTCAGGGTACTGGGTAAGGGGCAGCAGCCGCTGCACCACGCACCTGTCGGGATGGGACGGGTCAGTCAGGGCCGTCCCCGCTAACTTCTGTCCCTTCCCCGCCCGCACAGGCGCCCGGGGCTTCACCTGTCGGGGTCCAGGAGGAAGGCCCGCGCCGCAGGGCGTTGACTGAGGTTGGAGAGCAGCGGCGCCAGGTAGTGCAGGGGCGCGCGGGCGTTATAGCCGGGCGTGCACAGCGCGCGCACCAGCCGCTCCAGGACGGAGTCTCCTGGCTCCGCCATCAGCGCCATCAGCGCGGCACACGGCGCCGGCTCGCGGCTGAGGTTGGCCAGCGCAGCGGCCGCCTCCTCCGCCCAGGGCCACTGCGGGTCCAACGCGCGGCCCAGCAGGCGTGCGGGCAGCCCGGGGTCAGCCGCCAGCAACGGCTCGTGCAGGCCGGGGTCGGCGGCCAAGTTCACGAGCGCGCGGGCGGCGTCGCGGGCCGGGGCGGAGGCCGGCGCCAGGTCCGCCAGCGCCCGCAGCAGCGCCGCCTGCCCCGCCAGCAGCACGCGGCCGGGCCTGGAGCCGGTGAGCGCCAGCACGTGCCGCACCGCTGCCGCCTGCAGGTCGGCCCGCGCGCCCGGCGCCAGGAAGGGCAGCAGCTTCACCACCTCAGCCTCCGGGTCAGCCTCCGTCCCTGCCGACGCCCCCGCGCCGGCCGCGGCCTCCCCCATGCTGAGCGCACCTCGGCCGCCACCCGCCCGGACCTCCCGCTCCACCCCGGGGTCCGCGTGGGACGCGCAGCCCCGCCCACCGGAGGAGCGAAAGCCGCGGCGGCCAATCGGAGGCTGCGCCCTCGGCTCAAGTGGGCGGGGCCGGCGTGTGGGGGCGGGACCAGGGTGCGCGCGGGGGTTTGTGGGTCTCGACGTCTGGCCGGAAGCTGCGGAGGTCGACTGGGTCCTGGGCGCCGCGTGCCGCGTCCACACCCGCTGGAAACCTCCGCGTGTTCTCGGCTATGGCGGCCGGTGCGTCCCGCTGGGCGCTGGCCACGCCGAACCTGGTCAGCCCGGGCCTGTCGTGGGCCCTGAAGGTCTGAGGTCCGCGCCCCGCTGTCCTGTCGGCGAAGGGCTCTCGGGAGGAAGGCCTGCTCTTACCCAGGCTGGCACAGCCAAGGAGAAGCTTGGGCCTCCCGGGGACGGGACAGCACGGGGCCTCAGTGGGGACCCGAAGAGGCAGCTTTGGAGAGGCCTCTGGGCATCTCGGAGCGGGTAGCTTTGGGGTATTTGTCAGGACGTCTTCAGTCGCAAGTCACAAACGCAACTCAAACTGACTTGCACGAAGAGAAAATTTGTAAATGGAGGGTTGGAGGGCACCAGCTTCAGGTACTGCTGTATCTAGGAGCTCTCCGGAGGCTTGTGCTGCCTACCCTACCATCTCTCTCCCTCTCTGCCACCCTGCTGCTCTGTGGCTCCATGTCATTTCCACCTGCCACTGGCTGATTTTCTCAGAGCAGCTGGGAAAGAAAGGCACCGGGACCTCCCGGTTCCATGGTCCTGGCAGAAGACAATTTCTTTCTACCACTATTGGAGTCTGTCCCGGGAAAGAACTCCAGTTCTTCACGTGTCCTCCACTATAGGAGGAGCAGCAACGTGGAGACACACAGACTGGGGAGGAAGGGAGGCAAAAGAAAGATTTCCTCCAGCATTCGTTGGGCACCTGGCATCTTCCAAGCTGGTAGCTCAGGACACAGAACCAAACAATGCTGGTGGCCTTTCTGGCCTCAGGGTCTTTGCACTTGCCGTCTCTTCTGCCTGGAATGCTCTTTCCTCAGCTGTACACAAGGCTAGCAACTTCTTGTCAGAACCACCTTCCCTGGGCAGGTTACATAGAGACCCAGCCCACCCACCATCCATGGCTGCTTGGTTTCTATCCACCTCCTTCAAGATACCAGTACTTAGGCCAGATGCGGTGGCTCATTCCTGTAATCCCAGCACTTGGGGAGACCGAGGTGGGCAGATCATCTGAGGTCAGGAGTTCAATACCAGCTTGGCCAACATGGTGAAACCCTGCTCTACTAAAAAATATATAAAAAGTAGCCGGGTGTGGTGGCACATGCCTGTAGTCCTGGCTACCTGAGATGCTGAAGCAGGATAATTGCTTGGACCGAGGAGGAGGAGGTTGCAATGAGCTGAGATTGCGCCACTGCACTCCAGCCTGGGCAACAGAGGGAGACTCCATCTCAAAAATTAAATAACAGTAAATTAGGCCCAGGTCAGTAGCTCATGCCTGCAATCTCACCACTTTGGGAGGTGGAGGCAGGTGGATCACTTGAGACCAGGAGTTCGAGACCAGCCTGGCCAACACAGTGAAACCTGGTTTCTATTAAAAATACAAAAATTAGATGGGCATAGTGGCGTGTGCCTGTACTCCCAGCTGCTTGGGAGGCTGAGGCAGAAGAATCTAACCTGGTAGAGGAAGGTCGTAGTGAGTGGAGATTTTGCCACTGTTCTCTAGCCTAGATGACAGAGTGAGACAGAGTCTCAAAAATAAATAAATAAATAAATAAATAAATAGTACTTGAAGGTAATAAAATTTAAGCTTCATGGTACCTTGCTTGCACAGGTTCTTAACAAAGCTGCCTTGAGAGCAAACCTTGCATAGTGTTCATATATAGTCTTAATGGTTTTGCAAAGTAGGGTGTAGCAGACATTATAGGTGCAAAACCCACTAGAATGGCT